GTAGTAGTGGTGGTGGTAGTGGTAGTAGTGGTAGTGGTAGTGGTGGTGGTGGTAGTGGTAGTAGTGGCAGTGGTAGTGGTGGTAGTGGTAGTGGTAGTGGTGGTAGTGGAAGTGGTGGTGGTGGTAGTGTTGTTGTTGTTGTTGTTGGTGATAATGGTATTGGTAGTGGTGGTGGTGGTGGTGGTAGTGGTAGTGGTGGTAGTGGTAGTGGTGGTGGTGATAATGGTAGTGGTAGTGGTGTTGGTGGTAGTGGTAGTGGTGGTGGTGATATTGGTAGTGGCAGTGGTGGTGGTGGTAGTGGTAGTCGTGATATTGGTAGTGGCAGTGGTGGTGGTGGTAGTGGTAGTGGTGGTAGTGGTAGTGGTGTTGGTGGTGGTAGTAGTAGTCGTGATATTGGTAGTGGCAGTGGTGGTGGTGATAGTGGTAGTTTTGTTGTTGTTGTTGTTGTTTGTTGTTGTTGTTTTTTGGTGGTGGTAGTGTTAGTATCAGCAGCAGCGATGCATATAGATTGTATAGTAACCAGTATTGATACTAATTCTTTTGACAACAGATAAAGCAATCAGAAATAAGATCACTGGAAATGAAGTGGTATTCAATGGTGTATTTCATGTAGGGTATAAGTCAGCCGGTTATTGCTGGAATTACTTTGATGCTAAGAGAGTTTGTGAAATGTTTGGAGCTGGCTTGGCAAATTTGCAGCAGCTAACAGCAGCTTGGAAGATTGGCTTCGACATGTGTAGGTATAAATTTCATAGCAATAACATAAGGTTGAATATACCCGTGTTTCGCATGTATTCAAAAAATTGAATGTCGTAAAAAACACCAGTTATAGCCAATTTTTACTGGACTCTAAAGACATAACACATCATTTTTCCTGGTAGCATTGGAGCTACAGGGAAAAAAACTTCTATGTTTCTTTTGACTTCTTCTTTTTCGATATTTTATTTTTTCTTATCTAACAGCTTTGGATGGCTGGTTGATGGTTCAATGAGGTTCCCTATCTTCTATCAACGTAGCACATGTGGTTGTGGATGTGGCTCGCCAAGCATTAGAGGAAGTCCAAAATTAAAAGACAAAATGAATGGCAAATTCACTGGCTTTTGTTACAAGGAAACAGGTATGTGTGCATTAATGAATAAATGAATGAAAAATGCGATAAAACAGAAACAAAATTATATCGAATTAAATTCTTACAACCGTATAGAGTTATTAGTTAAAATAAATGTAAAATTCTCCGTAGAAACTGTGGTCTGCAAATTGATCGTAATGTCAGGTAGCAATTATAATCGGCTTGATTTTTCAGACAGGTGCAACGAGGTAGACTGGCACCAACATGACAAAAAATGCTACAAGTTTTTCCTGGATTCCAGTGCTTCCTGGAATGATGCAACTGCCACATGCGCACAAGAAGGTGGTGTGCTTGGATCGATGACATCCAAGGCAAAGCTTCTCTTTGTTAAAGACTTTGTAGAAAGGCAGAAAAACTCACTTGAACAAATCATGGTTGGACTTCGAAAGGTAAGGCATTTCAAGCCAACARCAAAATAGATTAGAACTTTTGTCAATAATATTCTCTACATACTAATGATATTAATATCGCTATTGAATGATTTGGTTTTGTAGGATTCAGAGGGAATATGGAGGTGGAATGACGGGAAGTCTGTTGATTCATCCTTGTGGAAGATCACTCAGCCAAGCGGACCAATAGGAACGGTCGACGTACGATCAACGTCACTTAATAACGTACCTGAGAATTATAAGCTGCCGTTTGTTTGTCAGAAACGGATATTCAGGAATAATCTCTTAACAATTAGAAACGAAGACCGAATGGGCCTACGGTTCAATAGCCCACTAGACCAAAGGGTTAAGGTCGAGTGAGCTATTGAACCGTAAGCCTATGAGGGCGAGAGGTCTAATTGTTTTAGTATTCAAAAACTTTTTCATTTTATTCACGTTTTCTAGAATTTGAAAAACAAAATATTTTTGATTTTTGCAAATTCAGTAGAAAAAAAAATTTACAAAGCACTCGTCGTGACTCGATAAAATCACTAATAAAAAAAATGGAAAAGTCACACAAAAAAATCGAGAACGTCAACTATTTATAATACATTAAAAGCTTGTCAAGTCTTCATCTCTTACACGAAATTTATACGAAATTTACACGAGATTTACACGAGATTTACACGAGATTTACACGAGATTTACACGAGATTTACACGAGATTTGCAGAGTTCAAAGGGCGCGATTTATCCCAGTGATAAACAGGATGGGCTTAACATGGGTAATATCCATATCGGTTTTTGCTATGTTAGCCTTACATGGCAACATGAAAGCAAATTGCTTGAACGTTAACGTTGACGTATACATGCATTAAAAGTTAATTCAATTAAACAATATAGACCACCATTGATCGCAACTAATTTTATTTTTCAAACTGAATGTTTTTACTCAAACACAAGTGMGTTGTCAGTGTTGTTGCTTTTATTGTAAGTTTTATTTAATCATGTTTAATTCACTTTCAAAGACTTCTTTGTAAATATGTTCAAATATTCTTTTAGCTACTTTGAGAAACAAAATAAATGCGAGAATATCTCCACTAGTTCATTGTTGTCCTGACTAACTTGAGCGTGCAATCACTACATCAATATTGTCTGCATATTACAATTCTCAAACAAAAGTTAAAGTGCATATAAAGGAATTTTTTGTGTTTCCTAAAGATAGTTTACCAATCATTAAATATGGTTTGAGGAAAAGAAATTCAAAAATCGAAATAGCGGTGTGTTTTTGAGGCGATTCAAGTTCAAAAATGGCCTCCTGTGCTTTTTGTTTAGGAAGAGTCCTAGAGAGACTGGAGACAATAAACGTGTGACGTAGCTTCAGTCAGATCAGTCTCGAAGTTTGCAGAGAAATACTAGCAAAATTCCCTAAGTCAGGTTTGAATCTGACATCAAAGAAAACGAAATTCGGGAATTAATATTCGAATGAATTATGTCACCAAGTTCTCATTAGCAACGATGCGC